CTTCTGGTCCGTACACTTGGTACTGGGTACAGAAGTCTCAACCTCTATCAATGTGCAAACAGCTGAGGTCGGAGGGTGGAGCTGGAATTTTCCACCACTGCTTCTCCAGCTATAGGACCAGACAGGACAGGCTCTGTCTGCCTGGTGTCTGAGCAGCAATGGCAGGACAGGGTTGCATGTGCTCTCCTTAGGAAGTCAGCCTTATGATTGTGAAGGAGTGGGTTGGTGGGGAGTTCTCCCAGCAGTAGCTACCTCAGGATGGTAAGATAACATACATTTTCTCTGTCCCATACCAAGCAACCATGAAGAGTTTGATTTGCCTGGATTTCTTGTTAGGCCAGGGCAAGATGGCAATCCTGAACAGCCAATTCTTAGGATGCCCTCCGCATCTTTCTGTTCCTGGTTCAGCTACATCTCTCCTTTTGACTTCATCCTGGGATTGCTGTCAGGGTCAGTGATTTATTTACCATAGTCACTCTGTTAAGCACAGTACTAAAAGATTTTTCTTAGTTCTCTGAAAATGAAACAATACTGATGAAGAGAGCTGTTAACTTTGAATTCTTGGGGCCAAATTATGAAATCATTGAGAAGTAGAGCTGTTGGAAGATGCTGCTTGAACGTAACACAAATACTTATCACAAATACTTTGTCCAACTTTTCTGATACAGTACAACTACCTTGTGAGTATTTGTCTTGTTATTTCCAGCTTGTAATGGAAGCTGACACCTAAACATTTCAAGATCAGGGGCCATATTTTGTAGCACATTCTGCACCCTGTCCTATTGCACTTTGGTTGTGTCTACACGTGCAATTAATGTGCAGCAATAAACGCTAGTGCATATCACACTGGAGTTTATTGCTCCTGGGCACCATGTTTGAATGTGCACCTGGGACCACAGCATGTTGAGCTGGGTTGGAGAAGCCCCAGCTGGCAGGGAGGCCGAGGGGCTAGCCTGCCAGCCTGGGACTGCTCTTACCTGGCTCAATGTGCTGTGAAGGGGCTGACTGGGACACGAGGGTGCTTCAGTGCAGGGCTAGCTGGCAGGCAACCCCCACACTGAAGCACCCGTGTACCCTAGTCAGCCCCGTCAGTGTCTACACATGCGTTGCTGCAGAGTAAAAAAACTTTGCTGTAGGATAGTACTTGTGTTTACAAGTACTAACCTATGACAGAATTAATTAGTTTACTCTGTCCTAATAGCATTGCATATATAGACGCTGAGACATTGACTGCAAAGCTAATTACACAACTCCACAGTAAACATCTCATGTAGACATGCCCTTTTTTTCTTCATGTGGTCTAGAAGTCATAGAAAAACCAATAAGTCTTGTGCTAGGGAAGCAGTTAACATGTAATGTTCCTAACAGGTAGAGAGCAGACTACAAAAACTCCTGTGCTGCTCTCTGTAACTCAAATTTTGGGTAAGGATAAGTGAATTAGCAGCATTGTAGTTAATCAGGGGTCCTACATTCAGGACGTTTGTTTTGTCATGCTATACTTTTAAAGAAAAAACAATACACTCTGTGCAAGCTTCTCTGTATACATGCTTGCTTACACCTACTCTAGGCCTCCTTGAGAATTAAACTACAATTAAAAGGAGGATCCCTTTTGACATATTTGAGGGAGAGAGTGTTTAAGCCAGGGCTGCCCACTTTCCAAGTGGCTGAAGCCATGTGCCCCAAAGGCCACCCAAGGGACAGCCACAGTCCCCTCAGGCCACATACCCCATGAACACCCCCCCATCACCACTACACCATGTGCCTGTGCCATCCCAACCAAGCCCTCCCAACTCCCGCTCATAGACCATGTGCCTGCAACTATCTTCACTGCCGTACTCTCCCCTGACTGCACTGCATACCCTTGACATCCTTTCTGATATCCCATTGTACTATGTGCCCTAGGTTCACTGCCAGTTCCCGCCATTGTCCTACCTCCTGTGGCAGGGCAGGAAGTGGCAGCTGAAGGGAGGGATGAGGAGCCTGGAGACTAGCTATTGTTGTAGCTGGAGTGATGGGAGGAGTGGCAGCCAAGGAGGAGCTGGGAGGGTGTAATATAACCTCTCCTGGGCTCCATCTCACGTCTACCAGCTATATGACAGATGGTTGATAAGTATGATCTCTGAGGTGGGAGGTAACATAAGTTAGCCACATTAGCTCAGCCATGGACTTATAGCTTTCAAGTTTGAATGGCAGTGCCTAGATGACGTTAGACTGCGGGGGCTTAACAGATCCAAGGATGCTGCAATTGGATTTATTAAGAGTAATGTGATGTGTGGCCACCTTGGGGAGCTCATCCAGATTCTGCCACACCTTGCATTTGCTTAAGGCAATTAGCTTATTTGCATGTAGGTTCTGAGATGATAACAAGAGTGCTGAATCTTCAAAGCAAGGATGTGTTGAGTATAATATGTTCAATGATTTCCTCTGTAATATTTCTAAAGCCCCCTGAATTCTTTGTTTTGAAGATGAAATGTAAAGTGAGATTAACATGTACAAATTGCTGCTATGAAAGATGTACACCTAGCAAAATATATTAAGGCATGACTTAGCTGTACATCATACTTCCAAATCATATTTGTGGCCTACTGATGAAGTAGGATATGCTGTTACATGAATAGTGCATCTCTGGTTCACACTTAGAATTTCTGCAATCATCATCTAACACCCCATAATACTTTCATATTTAATAGAGTTTCAGAGTAAGAATGTCTTCCCATTGTCTTGTTAGTCTTCTAAAAATGCTCTCAGAAAACAGAGAAGATGTCAACATGATCAATCTAAAACACAAGCGAAGGCTGAGGGGGGACCTGGTGACTGTCTATAAACTCACTAGGAGGGAGCAGAAGGGTTTGTGAGAGACCTTGTTTCCCCTAGCACCCCCTGGCATAACAAGGAATAACGGCCACATGTTGTTGGAGAGTAGGTTTAGATTAGACATCCGTAAGAACTACTTCACAGTTAGGGTGGCTAGGATCTGGAGCCAACTTCCAAGGGAAGTGGTGCTGGCTTCTATCCTGGGGGTCTTTAAGAGGAGGCTTGATGCTACCTAGCTGGGATCATTTGAGCCCAGTTTTTTTTCTCCTGCCCTGGCAGGGGGTCGGACTTGAAGATCTATAAGGTCCCTTCTGACCCGACTTCTATGATTCTATGACTCCTGCTGACCAGTATGATAATTGACCGGTGTGATTATGGAGACTCATTGTGCCTTGTATTCCTCAGTGTTTGACAATCAGAAATTTGTGTTAGCAAATATTGCTGGGGGCAACAATGTGAATTTGGTTTTTGGTTTTGTTTTGTAGCGGTGATGTTTCCTAAGCCACAATTAAGTTACCAGTAGATGGTTAAGGCATTTGAGATATAGCCTATAATACATATTGTGGGTGCAAGGTAATACTTTTATTTTGATTAGTTCACTTTATGCATGTTCACACCTACAATATACACAGTAACAGAGCCAAAAGCCAGCCATATTTAGAAGCACATTATATAATTTAATAGCTGTCCAGGTGCAGACAGAAAAAACAGTAATGATATATCAAGAGCATTTTGATCCCAGTATAGGAGGGTTTACAAAGGGCAGATTAATTTGTCCTTTTTTTCAACAAACTAAAAGACAGCTTGTCAGATGCTTATACAGTCATGTTCTAAAGCAGTTTTGCCTTGAATTGTAGTATCTCAGCTACTTAAAGCCTGTGTTCTAGAGATTTTTTTTCTCCCCTCCTATGAATTTTAGTGTATAATGGGAATGTAGCAGAGAGCTGTAATCTAATGTACTGTATCAGCAGAACTGTAGCTGAACCAATTGGGATCGTGGGCAGATATAGGATATCCTAAAGGAAATGCAGCATACCCCCCCTTGAACTATGTGGTGGCCATGGGGGCAAGGTGTGGCTGGAACCCCATGGCCAGCAGGGACATGAATATTCCAAGTGAGAGGTTGCCTTTGCTCCTGCCTTGATGTCTTAGCTTAGCCACAAACAGGACCTGCTGGAGAAATGACCTAAATTATTATTAGTTCATGCCATGTTTATTTTGCAGGCAATCAACTGCATCTGAAATTCTCCCATCTTTTTCTCTTTCACAGTACTCTCCCTTGATTATTTACCACAAGTGCATGCTAGAGTTAGTTGGGCACTCTGGTGGTAATATGAATACCCTCCAGAAGTTGGCAGGTTCCTTTTCTTGTTAAACTTAAACTATTAAAAATACACAAGAGTTTCTGAATAAATAGCAGCAGTATAAGATAAAATAGAAATGTATATTCTGCACTACTGAACAAATGACACATGAATTGGTAGTGGAAAGTTGTTATTAAAAGCCAATTATTTTAATATCTTCTGACTATTAATTTCTCTTATACTTGGCACTAAAAATATTTTTAATCTCATCTTGACAGGTAAATTGTCATAGGTTATTATCAAAACATGTTCTTGCGTGCAATATGAGTGCTTGTTACAGAATATACAATAAACCACTGCTGATGTGAACAGAAATAGAAAAGCTAAACTCCCAGCTTCCACACCACTCCACTGATGGAAGTTCACCCTTGGTTTCACACTCAGGGGACATGGGTATCTCTCTCATCCTGTATTCTAACTTCAGTGTGCCCAAAAGATGAAAGGTGGGTGTGGTGAAACTGGCCCCTCCTATGAAGTTCTCATGTCAAACCTTAAGAGTTTTATAGGTGGACTTAAAACATGATGCACGTTTCGTCTCTAACACCTTTTTCAAACTTTCACTCTTACAGCTGAACGGTCATTTTATTTACATAGTTATCCAATCCTCCTTTGCTCAAGAACTGAATGAACATGATTTCAAAAGCATGAATACATTTTCCCCCACCCCCAGCTTTGTAAATTAGTCTAGGTCTAGTCTAACTAGTTAAGCACAATAGAGACTTATTTGAAGTGTTCTAGCCCATTTCTGCCAAAGTTAAGATCACTGTTTGTCTTATAGTTAAGACCTAACAATCCCAGTGTGCTAGCTGACTGTCTGCAAAGAGCATGTCAGTGTATGATAAAGTCTAGATGTTCTAGACTCCAGGAGCTATGACTTCCTTATCTTCTATTTTGTTGACTGAGGAACCATTAAATGCTTCAGCATGCAGCCTTCTGTAGTCAGTGTGGAAAAAGATGACATAAAAGCAGGCAATAGCACTGAGTATTCCAGCCATCCCCAGTGTTGAGTCTATATAAGAAGAAACAAGTAACAGTTAATATCCAGCTCTATCTAGACAACTGGTTTAGAAGAGAGATGTGGAATCAAGTCCCCATCTTTTGTCTTTTCATTCAAGACCCTGAGATACAAAACTATCTGCTGTGTCCTGAAATTCTCACCTGGATAATATTGCCTCTCTAGCTCCGAGGGTGTCTTCACTTCCCTGTTTAACAAGGTGTTCTACAATACTGTTGAAACGTAAGACGATGCCTTTTCTGTACCAGAGACAGCTGCGTTTCAATAATGGGCAAAGAATCCATGTACATACAATACCCAGATTTTGTGTTCTGGATGCTGGTACATGATATAACATACTAAGATGCAGGGGTGGCCAAAATATGGCCTGCAGGCTGCATGCGGCCTGCCAACTGATCGGGCCTGGCCCATGAGCAGGTGACTGTATCCAGTCCATGGCTCCCCCCACAGTGCTCTATATGGGGCTGTGTTCTCACCTGCACCCATCCCACTCCCGCCAGACAGCACCACCTGTAGCCCCAGCCCTGGCCAGTGTGGTCAGCTTCCTGGCAGGGCTATTGCTGCAGCCCTGTTTGGCTCCCCCCTGCCTCCAGTGGCTCCTCCCCCTGCCCCTGCTGTGCCTCTCCAAGTAGCAGGTAATGTGGAGAAGCCATGGGGATGTATGCTGAGCAGCAAATGCCGAGCTAGGTAGAGGGAAGCTGCAGCCAGATGCCTCCTGCTCTAGCACATGGGGCTCCGGCTCCAGCTCCACCTCCCGGCTGCCTTCCACCCATTCGGCGACCTGGCACGATGAACACCCCCCCCACACACACACATACACCCATACACCTCCTGCACATACCTCCTTCCTACCCCCCATATAATATACAAGGCTGTATTTTGAGCTATTATGCAATTGCCTCTGTATACACTACTCAAAAAACCCATAAATCAGGACAATTTTTAAAAAATGAAATGAGGTTATAGTAGATATTTGATTTTTAGTATATGATTTAGTTTTTTTACTTATTATTTGTTAAAATTATGTCTTCTGAAAGACTTTGTGTGTGGGGCCCTCAACAGCTCACCAAAACTCATTAAGTGGCCCTTCAGCCAAAATAATTGCCCAACTCTATTCTACCTGGCATCATCGCAATTATGCATCTTATTTATAAGGTCTGTAAGGCTGTGTTTTTTGGTTTTTAATTTGCTAATTTATCCAATGCCTGCTTGTCTCAAGTTCTGAGATCCACAGCTCTTATAATGTGTTAAAGTGTAGACACAGCACGTGGTTCTAGCAGCCTGGGTACACTGGGTGTACAGCACACTGCTCTGGGTACAGCACACACAGAAAGGCACTATCATGCCTTGTAAGAAGGGGAGACAGCTGCCTTTCTCTCCTCTAAGGATAACAGCTTTCTTTTACCACCACATAATTAGCAAATGCTGTAGCTCTAGTGAAAGTACTCTGTCCTGCAATGCTGAAGACTCAGGATGCAAGTCCTACTTATAGTGCAGGTTGGGGCTGTGACAAATGTGCAAAAATGAATGTTTGTTTGTTTGTTTGAAGAAATCTAGGAAATTGCATTAAAAACTTATGAAAACATTTTAAAAATGAAATGTTTAAAGAAAATGTTTCAAGAAAAAATACTCAATGTAGGAAATGTCATATTTAAGATTGTTCATACAATCTTGCCTGGATATATTATGATAGTCTTTAACAACTTAATCACGTGGTTCCACAGGAACCTACCCCTTTTAGTGTTGAAGATGAATGTACACATGACAGGAATAAGGTTTGCATAGACAATTATAATAATGGTACTTTCTACTTGTCGACTGTTTAACTAGACAATCAAAGCAATGTTCTTTTAATGTGGTTTATTCTAAAACAGCACCAGTGAAAGTTTGCCAATGTACAGAGGTCAGCTATGCTTGCTTGCAATTAAATTTGTTTTCTATGTAATAAAATTGCTAAACTGTAATTAAAGAAGATAATGCTGCTGGTTGAAGATGAGTGCCTATTAATTATTCACATAGTCACAATGGGCTAGATGTTTTCAAGAAGGTAGTCTTTTAGGGTACATCTACACATTGCCCTATGGCAACGTTGTTACTTTGCCATGCTTTAGTACTTCCTTTTGGAAGTACTTCCACGTGTAGATGCACATATTTGTTATGTCGCCATAGCACATTGCTACGACAATGTTGCATGGCATGTAACCATGCCCTTAGGGGTTCAGATTTTGCACCATCCCATTGGTGAGCAAACTAGAATAATTCCAGTATTCATTTGTTTTTCCAACAGCATGAGGAAAGAATGCCACAATGCACTGCACACCAAACATACCATGTGTGACGTTTGCAAATGCAAACTTATTTTCTTTTAACAGTAATGGTCTATTATCATAAGCATAATATGAAGTTGTGTGCATGTATCTAATATTGCATGATAAATGCAAAGCGGATGCACTTGTTTTTAAATGACACTATCACAATAGGCAAAGGTGCAATGGTACAGATGCAACTATCTTTTGGGGTTTCCTGACAACGTTTCACCTTCATTTTTTTAAAAGATTTTGGCTTTGTTTGTGAATAAGTGTTTAGATTGATCCTTGATGCTGTAATCTCACCTTTATGCTACTTCAAGAAAATGCTTTCCTTCTCTATTTGCATAGATGCTACCAACGGCCAGAGTCTAATCTGCCTATAAAGTGCATAACTACTTTTTACAGGGGTGTAGGTTGTAGCCGTGTTGGTCTAAGGACATAGGCAGGCAAGGTTCTTTGGGGAAAAAATAGTTGAAAAAATAATTTTGCTTAAAATTTTTTTCCAACTATTTAAGTTGGTCTAATAAAAGATATCAGATTCACCCAAAGAACGCTGTCTGCCTAACTACTTTTTAGATGTCTTAGTATGATCCTATTTCACCCTTTTCCATTTCCCCCTCTCCCCACAAAAAAGCAGTCAACATGCCTATTAAGACTGTGTGTTATGACTGTTACAAAAATCAGCAAAGAGGAGTTTTGTATTAACAGTTTTCAGTGTCTCAGGCAGAGTAGAATAGGATTATGTTTAAGTGCCTTAGTTCACTTAGGTGCCTAATAAGTGGAACAGATCTGGCCCTGAGTGTCTCCGTGCCATGGTGTAAATAATTGTGCAGAGACGTTTACCAGAACAGACTTGAACGCGTGTGGAATGATACAATGCATTGTAGACAGAAAGCAGATGAATTTTTTAAGAGGGCTGGGGAGAGAAGGGGAAACATTACATTGTGTTAGTCCTTGTTCCTCACCAACCAGCGGCGTGTCAGCCTGAAGCTCCCCAGTTCACAGTCTGTGTGTTTCTAGGTGTATGTGTGCTGATAGCAGGGAGCTGGGAACCAGGGTGGATCCAGGAGGAGGTGCAGTGGTGCACTTGCACTTTCTCCCAGTGATTGCTGGTCCACCCAAAGTTTAAAATAAACTGCCTGGCAGTGGCAGCAGCATTTCTGTGCTGAGGGAGGCTGTGGCAGTTAGGCAGTGCTGAGGGAGTCAATTAACTATATGGCTCATTATAATCTACCTGATCCTTTCTAAACACTTCATTCCACAGATGCTAATGACCCTCTCTTCCTTTAACGGTCTTGATGTTCCACCAGTCAAGCTTCGTTCTGCAATTCTGCTTGATGTCAGCTACTCCTGGTAATGAAGCTCCTATTTCACAGCCTTGCAGGTTGTTTTTAACTCATTCCAATGAAGTTATATTTGTTTTTACTTTCATCTTAAACTGACTAGTACAACCCTGGGCCCCTAGTGTACTGGTAAAGCTTCTAGTGCATTTTTAAATGGAAAAATATGCATTGTTTTTATATGTGATGATGAACCTCACCATCTGCAACCCCCTTTTCAAAATTCTAGATCTGCCCATGGTTGGGGATGGGGAAGCTCCCTCATCCCCATCTACCTGCACTATTGGGAACTGGGGAGCTCCTCCATCCCCAGCCCAGATGTCCACATTGCAGACTTGTCTGTGGTGCACATGCACCCAGGTTCACACTGACTATGGTTCAAGGACATATGCAACTGGGGATCAGAGAATTGTCCAGTCCCAGCCGCATGCTCCAGAATGGAAGTGGTGGGTGTGCAGCCAGGGACCAGGGAGCATCCAATGACACATTTCATAAATGTGAAATCTGCCAGGGACCTTAATTTGTCCAATATTCATATTTTTTTTGCTGGGACAAATCTCTCTTGCATGTTAGCAACTTCAGTTTCTATTACAGGGGCAGGCAAAGTCCGGCTTCCAGGCTGGATCCCACTGGCAGTGGACTCCATTTCCCAGCAGTTCCTGCTGCATGGCTGGGGTTAGTCTTCATGGTGATCTCAGCTGCTCTGTGATAGCACAAGGCTGGGGCTGCCATGGAGACTGCCCCAGCTGCACTGGCAGGGCACGTGGCAGCCAGGACAGGGGCTGCTTCAAAGCCCTGGGACCTTGCAGCGGGGGCAGCTTGGTTTGGGGCCAGGGCAAAGTCATGATCTGCTGCCTGCATGGCCCTGCCTGGGGCATGCAGGTTGCAGATCACAGCTCTGCCCTGGCTCCTTGCAATGGTGACAGTGTGGTCTCGAATGGGGGCAGAGCCACAATCCACTGCTTGAGTGTCCCTGCCCCAAGCATGCAGGCTGCAGATAGCAGCTCTGCCCTGGCCCTGAACCAAGCTGCCCCTGCCACAAGATCCCAGGGCTCCTGAGCAGACCCCCCCTGCCGTGCCCTGCCCTGCCCTGCCAGCAACACTGGGGCTGGTCTCCATGGCAACCCCAGCTCCGTGCTATATAGTGCAGCTGCAGCTGGGGTCTCCCTGGAGACTGGCCCCAGCTCTCTGGGCAGGGGCTGCTGGGAAATGAAGTCTGGCTGCTGTCTGGATCTGCCATTTTGCCCACCCCTGTTCTATTACCTTTGTCAAATTAATCACTTTTAGCCATTTCCAAAGGAAATAATGGGATCTTGACCCCACCTAACTGAATGGCAGGTAGTTTCATTGCAGAAATATTGGGCCTTTCCTACTGGTAATTATCAATATTCTTTGTGAATCTTGGGGAGAATGGCTAGAAATTCTGATATCCCAAAACAACTGTCTACCCTTGACAGTCTGGCAGTCTGTGGATTGCCATTTGTGTCCTGTCCCTTGGGACAATTTACAAATAGCACCAGCTGGAGCAATGTAACTAGTCTTAGGGAATTCAACAAGACCTGTGGTTCTTCAGCCATCAATTTGCTCAGAACTCCAGGCATGCATTACAGAGAACTCTTTCCTTGCTCCTGACACCTGAGTGCTGCCCTCTCCTGTTGAGCAGTGAAGAAAGAAGGATTATTATGAAAGTTAGTACAAACTGGGCAACTGTGACTAGAAAGAGCAAAGGAGACATTTCTCAGTAAGCGTATTCTTTGTCATCAGTCAGGTCATATTTATCCTCATCAAGTCTGGCTTATTTGGATAGTGCATCTTGCTTGCTAGTCAGAACTGGTGCTCCCTTGGTTGGTAAAGTTTTCCCAGGGTGGGTGGAAAAGTCATTGTGATGATTATGTGGTTGTATTGTTTGTTTCATGTTATATGTTGAAAGTGTTTTCCTGGATGGGTTTTGTTCTGGCAGGTTAAGAGCTGGATTGAAGAAGGAATGGGTGTGCCTGCAGCCTGCTGGACTCCATGGAAGCTTGCTAGTATGAAGCCCAAGAGAGTGAAGACAGGAAGTCTGCCACATGGGGACAGCAACTGAAAAGGCTGGAGTAGTGGGGCAGAGGCAACTTGCTGAGAGCCAGCAGAGAAGCTGAGACCTCTGGGGACGAGGAGGAGTTTGCTGCAGAGATGGCGACATTTCCTGCCTACAACTGGAATCAGCTGGGAACTAAGAAGTAAGCACTGGCCAGGTATCAGAGTGAAAAGCATGTTTTAAACATTTATTTTGTGTTCTGTCTTCCCCAGTTATTTTGCACTGTTTTCCCTAATTAAGTGGGGTTTTTCTTTATCCCTAAATTTAGCTGTCCTGTACTTGAGTATCTTACTTTGTGGAGAGTTTGTACCCTCATGGCTTTGGCTGACGGGGTGGGGGAGAGGGGTCCTGTCACATCATTAAAACTGAAATTGTGAGTAACATGAGGGGCATTCTGTTTCACCATTCCAAAAGAAAGTGGGGTAATGGTGACATATGCTGGGCGAGTGCCAGCAGGTATATGTGAGGGACATAGGCCAGTAATCATCTTTTGGGCCAAAAACAAAGCTGGGAATGAACTGGTGAAAAAGGAAGGCCCTAAACAGCATGGTGATCAGAAAGGACACCCCTCTGCTAAGCACAGCAATGAATTCTAAGAGAAATGGATAGATACTGACTTATCCAATCTACTGTCCCGCCTTCATCTCCAGCACAAGTAGAAAATGGATCCTTAGGAATCTGCACTGTGAGGGCTTGCACCAGCTTCATGATGATCACTCCTTGGACCTGACTGTGGAAAGAAGAATCATCAGTTATTAATCAGATAGTTTAACCAAGGCCTGGCCCTCAGACAGAAGGAGAATTGTCCTCTGAGAAAGCTAAGTTCTCCTTTCTAGCTGCAAGTTACCTACATGCCATACTGGCAGTATTTGTTTGGAAAAGCACCCATTCATGTTCTCTCTGTATGACTACCCAGGTCCACCCTGCCAAACAGGTTATGATAAATGCATCCTTTGCCCGATTCCTTCTGACTCCCCAGCACAGCTCTTTAGCAGCAATGAGATCATCCTTGTAGCAATAAGTATGCAGTTATAACCATCATTTGGGACCCAACTTTGATCTGTAGGCATCCACATCCAACACACAAGTGGTACAAATATCATGAACTATGCAACAGAGAAATCATCATCCATAAACCCAGTCCAATCTTCGGTCTACACTGCACACAAGGGCTTGGTAAACTATGCAGCCTTTACAGCTTATAAGCACTCCTGCATTATCTCACAGAAATAATGGATTGGAATAAATGAGTGGTAATTTGTTTCCACAAGGACATTTTATACTCCAGTCTTGGAAACAGCATTTTCATATGTAGTAACTGGAATACTCCATATGCAGTTACTGCAAGTCATGCCTTTGTTTTGTGAAGACAAGCATATGCATAAACTTCCATACACTAAATGTACTAATTCTGAGACTTTGTACACAGAACTATATGTAGACAGACATCAGTAGCACTCACTCTCACACATGAGCCTGCTGAAGTATTAGGGCTTGTGGAGTGCTGCTTCCCAGAGATGTACAGATGAATCTTTTTGCCCATATGTGAATAACTGGATTATAGACCTACCCACTGCCACTTGCCAAACACATATCCTTGGGCTGTTAGTGAATTACAGATTGGAGAAGAATATTTTTTAAATCTATCTTTCAGCCTGTTCCACAAAGAGGAGTGGTAGCAGTTGGGTTTTCTCCTGCTGGAAACTGAGTGGAGTCGTAACAAACCATGCAATCAGTTAAATGGGACAGTCTCTTGCTGCTTTGACTCTTCATGTTCCCTTATGTTTTACTAGCTTTACATTTTCCCAGCATGGGGCAAATGTTCCACTTCAGTAAGTCTCGGGTATCAGCGTCCCCATGCTTCAAATTTTGATGAGCTTTAGTTCAAGTGCCCCCACTGCCATTTTGAAGTGTGGAGATGCTGATACATGAGATATGGGATGCTGCTGGAGCACAGCAACTACCACACTCCAGCAGACTCGGTTAATCAAGTCTGCTCTGACATGCTGTAATCACAACACATTGGAGCAGCCTCCACACTCATGTGCAGGCACCCTTATTATTGAATCAGCACAACTGCTACCCACGATAGGACAACTTGCTTCAGGCAGGGCCATAAAAGGAAATGTTCCAATCTGATTCGTTAAAAGAACAGGTGTCCAAACCTGTGACAAATCAAGGAAGCCCCTGGTTCTTGAAGGGGTGTAGGCTGTCATAGATCAGCATATTGTCATGTATGGGGATCTGCAACAAATCATTATGCAGGCTTCTTCGCATTTATCCTTGACATTCCCTCCACTGCCGGGGAACTTACATTTCTCCTCCTCCTGGGGGAATGCATAGCTTCAGTCCATTTTAAAGCCAGATGTTCAGAAGAATTATCACCCAGTAGCACACTGAGCAGGATGGATTCTGAGCTCCCTCCATGCTCTCCTTCCATACACCAAGCCTACAACTCTCTTTATACTGTTTTCCTGGGAAGGACTGGGCTCTGAACAGCACCTCTCTGGTGACATGAAATCATTGCTGCCAGTGGAAGCAAATCAGTCTATACATCACTTATTAGCTGAGTGGCATGTATCTATTTTTCCTCTGTTTATGAAAATGCCCTGACAGTTGGCTGCTATCAGCACCAACCTGCACTAACAACTGTGGATAACAGGTGAAAGAAACTGTCCGTGACTAGAACTCAGGGCAGGTAAAGGAGAAATTAATTCTGTTGCCTGCTGTCAATGGCTGAATTATGTTCTAAATGAGTATAAATCGGCTACTTACCCCAATACAAAAATCAGGCCTGAGGATGTACCCTCTCCCACTGGAAAGGAGCATTCAACAGCCAGTTCCATAGCAACCGGGTAGACAGAAAATCCAAAGAACCCAAACAGCGAGCAGATCAAAGCCAAAGGAATAGTCTGATTTCTGAAATTTGTCATCTGCAGTCAGAGATACAATACCAAAGCCTTAGAGTTAAGCCAATCTACATGGTCACTTTCCACAGTAAGTCAACGTGACAGCCAGTACACACCATTACTGGTATATTCCTCCTCTTTCTTCCACTAAAAAAATCATTCCTCTTTCCTTTCATGCTTTCAAACAGCTATTCATGCCCCACTATACTGGAGCTGAGTGAATAATTAGGTTAGGGAATTAATAGCTTTGTTTTTCTAATGTCTGAATCCCTCCTGGCTGAACAAGCACCATGGAAAGGCAGGCTACTGTTTTACATAGGGGCAACCTCAGCCATAATTTGGTTCAGCCTCCAGAGATTTCTGAAAACTCCTAAGTTTGGTTCCAAAACAGGGAGTTGGGCACGTAAGTGTCCACTAAAATAAAACTTTTAATTTCTTAAATATTTACAGGCCTGTGGCCTTGAGGCTATTACAAAAAGTTGTAAAAACGATCCCATAAATTGTACTGGTCAATTCACTTCATGAAACCCTGACCTCAGCACAGAGTTAGTGGTATAGAGAAGAGCGCTGTCCAGCCAATAAAATAAAATCTAAATTGATAAGTCTGATGGCTCTGTGTGCTACCACCACCCTTCTCATCTCATGTTCAGTGCTAACAAACCTCATTCAGTTTTCCAAAGTAGTGGCATTACTGCTGAATACAAGATTCTGCCAATTGGCATGCTAGGAGGAAATTTGTGGCCTGTCAACAGCCAGAATGCTCCTATTTCCCTAGCTATACTGGTTTATGGGATCCAGGAAGGTACTGAGTTGTCAAGCACATGAATAGATTGCGCACCCACAGTCCATGTTCATAACTGTTCAAGCATCAAATCAATTTGTCCAGCATTTTTTTTCAGATGGATTAGTTTTGTCTTCAATGTGAGTTTAGCAAAACACTGGAAGGAGTTTGCCTGTTTCTTCCAAATCAGCATCATTTACATTCTGTCACTCTATAAATACAGATTTGGGCTGAAGTGAATGCACACGTTAATTAACGTTAGTGCTGAAATATAGTGACCTGGGAGATCTTGGTTTTAATTTATAGCTCTAACTCAGACTATTTATATCACCTTGGAGATGTACTTAAATCTTTATGCTTCTATTTTTTATTCTTTTAAAAGTAGGGTTAAAGATATACCTTTTAAGAGACTATTGTGAGGTGTAATTTGTTCATATTTGTAAGGTCAGCTACATTTCATGAGACATAATTGTGAATTATTAGTTTATCCAGGAGCAAAAGCTTGCCAGCTCTGGTAACCAGTAAACATGGCCATTCTGTGGGCCTGATCCCAGCTATTTTTACTTGACAGTGCTGTGTTCTATTTCCCATTGGGTATTCTCACTTTCATAAAGCCCTGTAATCAAGTTTCACCAGCTTTTCTGTGCGGGGTCTAGTGAACTACCAGGAAACCCTCACTAATGTAGTTCAGGGTACAAGCTGATTACTGAATAGGCTCAGCAAAAGATTACCCCCAGTACTGGCCTCTTTATCAAGTTTAGACTTTTGTTTGTTTGTTTTTTACAGGGTATGTCCTATCTTCCTGCATCATCTGGTACTAGCCACCATCACAGTCAGGGAAAAGGAATGGGTATGTTTAGGATGTTCCATTATAGAATTTTTTAAATTAATATTATGTAGTAATCTAATGCTCTATACCACAGTGTTAGCTAAGGCTCATAATCTACCTCATCCAGCAGAACATTAGTATGAGTTATTCCCAGATTGAGAGAAATAAAGCAGATTGTACAATGCTGTAGGTTGTAAAATGAATGTAACGGTAGAAACAATGTTCATGAAAATGCTTCTGTTAGTAAGAAACCATCTCCACCTGTGGTAACAAGGAATATAAAGCTACTACAAATACCATGTTACATAAAGAAACTAAATAGCTGAATAAGTCATTTGGAGTTTGTGTAATTTATCAGATAATGGTAAAAAACAGGCTTTAATGATATCTCTTTGAAAATATGATAAAGTGTGAAAATGAACTTACCACTGCAAATACGATGCTGGCTAATGCAGCCAGACTAAAACAGATTTTGGTAGCTTCTATAAATCTTCTTGATCTGTCAACATATAGTCCCAGGAGAAAAGCACCAAGTAAACCAAACACAATGAACAATGCACCATTCAGGCCTGCAAAGAACTATAGCACAGAAGAAATTAATGACTGGCCAATTAGATTTGGAAGCTGAGATTTTTTTCAATATTACTGACATAAGCAACATAAGTATCTGATTATAAACACAAGGCATTTGTTTGTTTGATAAGTTTTTTGCACTGTACTCATCACAATTCCTGAACACTTCACTGGATGCACACCTAGAACAGTAAGAAATACGAAAAGGAAGAGTTCAGATTCCACTGTGAGGGTGACTGAGTAAGACAGCAGCCTGGATAAGTGGATCTGTGCTAACAGTCTGATCAATTTTACCTTGACATACTTGAGATAACAGAACCCCTGGAGAATAAAGCAGTCACCAGAGAATAAATGTGCGTAATTTGACAGGCAGTGGCATGCAAAGATATCTAAGCTAGCTCTGAATCAGGGCTATCCTACTTCCAAGTGGCCAGAGTCTGCAAACCCCATGGAGATCCCTCCACCACTGCACAGGTGGGGGGATCTATGGAGGTGGTGGGACCCATGGAGGTGGTGGGGAGACCCATGGAGGTCCCCCCAGCACTGCATGCCCATGGTCTCCCTACCAATACACTGTGTGCCCATGTGAGCAACACATCCCATACTGCATTGCATGCCTCCTCCACTGCACCATCACCCCCTGACTCCTCTGTTATCCCCATGGCACTGTGTGCCTGCAACCCCCTGCCCCCAGTGTGCCCAAGCAGGCACTGCACCATGTGCCTATGATCATCCCCGGACCAACAGCCCCACCTCCACTGCATCATGTGCCCACAGGTCGGGAGAACAAGACCAGAGGAAAGACTGAAAAACTAGAATGATTTAATCTGGAATTGAATCTGTATTTGATTACAGTCTTCAAATAAAAAAAAAAGAGGAAGGTGATAATTTACTTTTCTGTGTCCACAGGGGTTGCAACAGGAAGTAATAAGATTAAACTGCAACTTCTTTGTAGCAGGGTATTTTCATATCTGTACTGTTACATCTGGCATTCCAGGGGGTCGAACCCCACAGTTTGCTGCAAGCTGTGAAAGAGCCCTATGTGCACCTTGATACCACACTGCTGCTGGTTATATAATCATGGTGCAGGATATTAACTTACAGGCTAGTGATATCCATGGTAATAATATGGCCTTCTTGGAGGTGACTGATATTCTGGATCTTGTTGAGAAAGATGGAAAACAGTAGACAGAAACACAGGTGATGGCTTTGACTCATTACAATCTACCTTCTATCTTTTCTAACCTCTCTGCATTCCACAGGTAATAACAACCCTTTTCCCTTTTGAATGGTCTTCTTCTTCTATTAGGTTATCCATTCAACTGTTTCTTTGTTTCTGAAGTTAGTTCTGATCATTTTTCTTTGCCCCTTCTTCACAACCATCCTCCATTTTTAAGCAAATGTTTTCATTTACATGGAGTTAAAGCACAAACCATTTTTCCTCTGTTATTTAACTTAATCTGTGTCAATACCATGATGAGTGCCACCTGGAGTTACCACCTGAAGGTTAAGAACAACTGATCTGGGAACACTTTTTAAAGCTTAAAGACCATCCTGAGAGTAGTCAGATGCTTGAAAGAAATGCAGCAAATAATATCTGAACATGTTTCCTGGGCACAGCAAAAAGGGCAGGGAATGAAGTGGAGGAAACATCCAGGAGCCCATGTCTGTTGTGGAGGTAGGCTAAGGTTTTCCAGTGTGCACAGCCTTGAAGGAAAGAATTGTACTTATGACCTTCATGTGCAGCTTAATGGAAAGCCCACAGCGTGATTCAGAAGGGCTGACATGATGCGGCTAATGGATGGCAGTTTGCTGTGGCAGCAGCTTTTTGTACAGGCTCAAGCACAAAGTTACTGCCCATGCAACATAAGAAAGTAGTCTGAGGTCATTTAGGTGGGACAGGACCAGGGTAAGGGCAAGCCATCATGATAACATGACAGTGAGTTGGGCACTTCAGTTATGTAGGAAGAAAAATATAACAGGGTTTGAGTAAGCTCTGGGCATGAAAGAAGAGATCTTAGAGAACTCCCTCCTTGAGTTGCCCTGGAGATCATATCCTGGGCAAAGGGAAGAGCAAGAACTTTGTAGTAATGCTGTGTTAGGCCAGACATAGATATCACCAAATGAAGAGGATCAGCTGGGCCACAATTTGTTGCAACATAGCTGATCTGCTTCATTTGGTGAAACACATGTTGCCCCCTGTTCCATCCCTTGACGGCTTTCCCCACTCACCCAGACCTGCTCCTGGGATCTCCAGGGAAGGTCTGGGTAAGCAGAGAAAGCCCAACCTTCCCCACTCACTGAGTAAGTGGGTCCCCAGTAGATGCAGATCACCAGGGATGCCCCAGGTACCATGCCTCCACACCAGGACCCATGCAGGCTTTCCCCACTTATGAAGACTGCTCATGGAGATCAGGGGCAGGTCTCTGTCAGCAGTGAACCTCCACTGCCTACTTTCAGAAAGGTGTCATAAGATTCCTCAGAGTGCCTCCCTATAAGCAAGGTAATCCCAGGAAGGTGCTCCAAGAGCTTGAGGGGCCCTCAAACCATCAGAACAAGTACCCAGGGTGACTGAAGAATGCAGGTAGTTCAGGTTGCCTGCACTCTTCTGCCACAAAGCTAATGGACATCTGCTGCAATAAGTGGCAGAATCTATTACTAATTTTTGTTATCCCATTGATTTTCCTCTGATGTAGCATGACAAAGGTAGCAATGTCAATTTGCTCACCATTTGTGCCACCATAAAAAGTTTTATGGTGGCACAAATGAGATGTCAGACATGGTCTGTTTGTACCCTCTGTGACTGATAACCTTCCAGACTGGTTAGGACCCGTCTTGCGGCTTATTCGCTGGTGGAATATATATTGTGGTGTCATAAAGTATAAGCAACATGTGAATTTATCTGTGCAGATGAGTTTAGCCAGGAATACTTATGAAAACAAAGGGATCAATTTGTTTTGTTTTCAGCTTCCTGTTCCCTCCAGTCTCTCAGCTTGAGCATTTGAGGCTAGCTTACAGATGCTTGTAGTTATGACACCCCATGGGAAGGAAACCAAAGTCTCTATTAAGTAAAATCTAATGAAAGAAGTATTTAATTTACAAGTACTAATGTAGCTGAGGACACTAATTAAACTGCAGATAATCTAAAATATTGAAAGAATATAAAGATCCATAGAAAATAAGGGACCTCAAAATGTCCTTAGTCCAAACCCCTGCTCAGGGCTGGATCACTTCTGTATAAGCCATCTCAGACAAATGTTTGTCTAGATAAACATCTCCATTTAAAAACTTTCAGTGATGGAGCTATCAGAGCCTCTTATAGGTAATCTGTTCCAGTAGTTAAGCAATGTAACAAAGTTTTAATACTCAGTCTAACTTTCCCTTAGTTGAAATTTAAGAATATCGCTATCCTGTTCCCTGCAGCCACAATTTATCACCATACAGTGCTTTAAAACCTTGCAGTCCTGCCCTATACGTCCTATCCAGATATTAAACAGATTTGGTGTTTGTCATTTATTAAATATTAAGAAAAACAATAAAATAATATTCATCTCACTTTGTGTAGTCAGTAACAGATCATTTTAACTGTATAACAAGTAATGTTCAGCAACTAGAAAGGACTTACGTTTGAATACCCCTTTACACAGAGGATCTGTTCCAAAAGAGCTGAAAAGCAAGTGAAAATCCCAATCCCAGCTCCAAAACAGATTGCCAGGATGATGTATGGTTTATTTTTCATAAGCTGCAAATGTAAAAGTATTGGTTAAAACAAATGGAAAGGAAACTAGCAAAAGAACCTGTACCAGATTCCTGGCCCTACTCTAGTTTAGGAAACAGTGGGTGTGTCTACCTGAGACGCTTTACTATGCATTAGACTAATCTAATGCGCAGTAAAGCATCATTGTCTACATGTGCACAGCAATTACTGTACAGTATATTTATCTAATGAGCCATTTCCGAGTACCTGTAGATACAGGTACTAGAAAAACAGTGCACTAACTAATGTGCCATACCATTCGTGTAGATGCTGCCCCAGAGCAAATTGCTCCCCATCAGCCTAGGCAGCAAGGGGCCACAGGGGGCAGGGAGAGCTGTCTCGGTTCAGTGAGACACTTCCTGCCAGCCACATGGAGATTAGGATGGGTCCTGATCTCCAAGTGGCTGGGAGCCAGCTGCCTGGCAGCCAGGACCGCTCTCCCTGCCCTGTGTTCAGGATGGATCCCAGTCTCCATGTGGCTAGGAAGCAGTTGCTAACCCAGGCAGGACACCCCTCCCCCCAGAAAACTTGGGGCCAACCCAATCTCCCCCTGATTGGGACAGAGCTGCTTGCCAAGCTGAGATAGTTCCCCACTGCCCTCTGGAGTGTGGGGCTAAGCCCCTGTGCCAGCCAGGGGGTATGGGGCACCAGCAGGGAACCTGGAGCTCCCCCTGGTTGCTGCAGGGGGGTAGAACAGGGCAGGAGCAGCCCTGGATTGGGCTCTTCCTATTGGGCTCAATTTGCTCCTGACAGGGGCGCACACAGATGTACAGCAGGGAGTGCTTTTAATAAGCCTGAATTTTTTGCACAGAAAATTCAGGTGCATTAATTGCACATGTGGATGCACCAAGTATTATTGTGAGAGCTAACCCATTAAAGATAGATGCAGTTATACATTTTAGAAACAGCTTGCTAAGGCATCAAAGTTTGCTCTTTTTAAGGTAGTTTAGTGGGTCCCTTAAATCCTAAGCAAAGCCAGTCAGAGAATGAATGAAATATGGACTGTATTGAACAAAAGGGCTAGTGAACAGGGCTCTTCAGTGCCACTGTGTTTCTTGGGTCCCTGGCACACATTCATGTAATCACGTGACTTGATCTGAAGAATTTTATTCCAGATTCCAACAATCATGTATCTTTCCATGCCAGTTCTAAACATCTCCTTTTATACCGGTCAGTAAATCCAGTTTATCTGTAAGGTTTTTCCAAGGAGGGGTCAGGTCTCATTCAGAGACTGTAGTCCCAGTAATGGGGACCCCTCCAGGGAGTAATTTCCATATTCTGAGGAGTGTACAGAAATAATAGATGTTGTGATCATGCTTTATACAACAAGTTCTGGAGGGGGAAAAATGACTGAGCTGGTGGGTAGGGATACTTTGATCTGTGCGGAAGTACTTGATGACCACCTGCCTGACATTGTTAGCATGGATCCCAGTCCAAGGAGGGCAGTGATGTGCTAGAATGTGTGCTAGACCCAGACATGGCAGAGTGCCTCCCATATCCACATACTTAGTCTGTTCCCTGTTAGCTCCAGCCTTTGGTGAGAAAGAGGTTCCTATTCTGAAGTAATTTTGATAGCAAACATCAGCACAGCCCTTTTCCTGCTGACCAGTAACCACAGCAGTTGTATTCCTTAAGGTGACATTATGGAAGCCAGATGGCACATTTGACCATGGAGTAAAATTTACTGTGCTTTACTATACACTTACCATTTTCAAGCCTGTGAAAAATGGCTGGGAGGTAGAATTTGTAGCACTTGCCGATGGTGGAGTTGGAGGGACCTTGTCATGTACACCAACTACTGCTAGTATGCAGGCTACTACTGCAGGAATGGCATAAATTCCAAGCTACAAGCCCAAAGTAGAGTCATATAAATAGTTCATCCAACATCAACGTTATTGAGTATACTACATTGTAATGAATCCAAAAGACACTTAATACTAATTAATCAGCTTTCATTACCATTATTGGGATATCCTTTCCTTCAGACACAAGTGCAGGTGACACCAAGTTAGCTATAAGCATGCCCAAGGGATTGGCTAGATTGAAATAAAAAGAGACAGTTCTATTTTTGTATATAATAGAAAAATGCACATTTATAAAAATGTAATAAGGCATCCAATTCAATAGCAAGTACACAGTATCCTCAGTTTAAGTATACCCATGGCTGGGCAAGGTCAGAAAAAAGACATCAATAAAGTTACAGCTGGAGGGCAAAGTTCCAAAAAACATTTTATCAGCTTCTCAAAATTTTCCCAAGTCCATCTTTCTTAGCTGGTTTAAAATGTGTGATACCAAGCCTTTTTTCCCCCCCTTCTCTTTCAATGCTGCCCCAGTAAGCGATTTATTGAAAAAAACAAAAATTAAAGAGGGATAATGCTAGTTGTCAGTTCAGTTGTTTTCCAGCAGCACAGTTAGCAATACAATTTCTCTGCAGAGATGTTCTTTGTCCAAGTGCAAGTGAAATATAGCATACCACAATACCAGCTGAAATACTCTTTAATATACTCTCATATTACAATATATTGTTTTTACAGCCATCAGCACTAACTGAATATCTTATTCTTGGAACTGTTTTGAATTCATCTCACAAGGCACATGCAGACGAGCCCACAGGTGCTTCTTGCAGTGTCTCAAACCCCTTTGAGATGCTGCAAGAGGCGTGTGCAGGAATGAGAAAATGTTCCCTGCACTGCAAGTTTGCAGCATGGGGGCAAAATTAGACTCCTGGATATCTAGGGGTCAAAAAACCCCGCAGAAAAAAAAAGCGGGGTGACTGTGCCCTGAGGCAACTGGAGGCTGAGTCCTCCATAGAGATGCTTTGGCTGCCAGAGCGTCTCTATGGTTAGCCCTTGCCCTGGTGCTGAAGCATGCTGCCTGCCCCTGAGGCAGCAGCAGAGAGCTGGACCCAGGCTCCACTGCCACTGAGTAAGGGGTCTTGGGGCTGGAGGAGAGGAGAGGGGACCATAGGGGGGGACCTCCGCTAGCCCCGCCTGCTGCCCCAGCCCCCACATTCCCTCCCTGCCTGGCCCCACCCCCGCCTGCTCCCCCA